CGCCCCTCCGTGGTGCTGGGGGCAGCGGGGACACCCCACCCCACGCCTCCGTGGGGCCTGGCCAGAGGGGACAAAGACCCCCTTCCTACACACACATCCCCATCGGGCCCGGCCGGGGAGAGGCCCGGACACCCCCAGGCCCACACCGCCCCATAGGGCCCGGCCTGGGGCGAAGGCCGAGCAGGACCGGGAGCTCCCGCACTGTACCCGGGCTTGGGCTGGTGCTGTGTCACAGGGCGAGAGCTCTGCTCGGGCGGCCCCCATGGCTTGCCGAGGTTTGCTGGATGCGTGTGCGTGGCAGCACTTGCTATCAAAGTAACAAAAGTCACGCCTTCAGCCTGCCTCATACTTGTTTTGAGAGTTAATTCGGGGTTGAGAGGGTTTGGTGTGAGTTTATTTCCACCTGGACAAGATTTTTCCCAGCGTTATACGGTGGGGTTTCTGCTGCGGAGGCTTTGTTCTTTGTCCAGCAACGGCTGCGGCCTTCAGCTGTAGATTGTCATCAGCCCAGAGCAACGCTGATGCGTGGGGGCCTGCCAGGAGCACTGCCTTTGTGCAGCACAGAACATGGGCAAGCCTGGATCCTGGGGCTGCTCCTGTGATTTCACAGGTCGTCGTAATAAAATTCATTGTGTGAAAAGTCTGGGTGAATTAAAAATTAAAAGAATGACCATGCAACCTAGATCTCCTTGGAAATGTCAAAGCCTCTGAAGAGTAGAAAATAGATTTGTCACCAAGCTGCATCCGTCACGAATTTGCTATAGCGTGACAAGTGCAGTTATAGTGCATTTCCGTGTTTAATAATAAATTTGGGTTCCTCTTCAGAACGGAGACTCCCTTCTTGCTGCTGTTGTTTTAATTAACAAAATTAGTTTGTGACAGCAGACAGACACAAAATGTTTTCTGAAATGTATGGATTTCTGACCAGTGTAAGTACAGGGGAAGAATAAATTTAGACATAAGTGGAAAATAGTCTAAATTTAGAGTGTTAAAACCTGAAAGCTGAAAGATAAAATTCTGGTAACTGCAAAAGGTCAACATCCAGTTATCCTTTTCCTATTTACTAGGTGGAGTAGATTAATACCCTGACTTAAGAACACATGTGATTTACATTATTAAAGATGAAAATCTGGCTGAGATGGGCTAAGATTTCAGATACCAAAAAATGTCTCAAGTCTTCCCTGACTTCACCTGTCTGTTGCCAGACACAAAGCCTTGTTAAATCGTGTGGTAGGGTTTCAGGCTGCTGCCAGCATGCTGTCTAGACAAATGTGTGCCAGGAAGTGTGATTTGACCATCTTCTTCATCAGGTGGACTCTCACTACTGTCCCAGCTGCCTGGAAAACATGCCTTCAGCTGAAGCCAAGCTGAAAAAGAACAGGTAAGGTTTTTTTGGGCTCTTGTCATCAAGACTCCCTATTTTAAACAGCTCCTTCCTTAATCAACACCTGGCTGTGTGTATTTGAAGCTCTCTTAAAAAATTACATTGCTTCTGTTACTTTTTAGTCAGTTTTGGGGAATAAGTGTCTTTCCATGATGTATCATGTGCTTTTCATGTTCTAGGTTTTGGGGTTTTTTTTATGGCCTGCTTTCATAATACAAAGAGTTTTTTAGTATTCCCCAGTATTTCTCACTGTCGCCATTCTTATGTTGATGCTGAAACCCTCCTGTTGATGGCTCTTTTGCTCTTTTCCCTTAATACTGTTGCATAGGATGAAAAGCTCTGTTGGTTTAATCTTGATTTGCTTGCTGAGAGCATTTTCCTTGGCCTGGGATCTTTGTCAGAGCACTGTCTTACACACCTTCCTCTTTACAGGTGTGCTAACTGCTTTGACTGC